ATATAAAACTATGCACTTTGAATATAAATCAGAGCAATTCATAGCCAAAGGCTCAGTTCTCATTATATGATCATAAATTTTGTATTTACCACTGTTTATATATTGTAAAGATTGTGTTGGTGAACATGATAAATATAAAGAATTTGGAGCTTTTCAGAATACTTAACTGGTGAAAGCAATTTAAAATATTTCAGCTAAAATTAACTGCAAAAAAAAAAAAAACATTAATAAATTCTGGAATTACGTATTTTTTTCCTAAGGTAATGTTCTTTTTTCTAAGTTCAATGGGATGTATTTCCATAATACACGTTTGCTTCAGTTATAGCTTTGATGGGCTAGTTCTTTCTTCAGGAAACAAGTTCAAATAGGTCTTTTCCTAGGATTACCTCATATTAAAAATTACCTTCTACCTTTAATGGTGCTAAGAAGATACTGTGTTTGGCAATATGTTCACTATAAATTGGGTATTTTTTAACAAAATAAGGATCATGTATAGAAGGGGGAATGAGGGAAATGTTGTTATGGGTGTCTCTAGAGGTAAAATAGGAGGGGATTCCAAGAGGAGGGTGGCTGTTCTGGTAGGAGGAATTGTGTCCAACTGCCATGACTTACTGTACATTCTGCTTTAAAAAGTACTGTTATTAGCAATTTCATCATTATCCACTAAGAGCCTCTTACTATCACATTCCAATCCTCCATCCATCTCAGACTTTCCCTAGCATAGTCATTGCTGTAAAAACTATTCTGTCTAGTGGTGACTATATGTGTTACAACTGGAACGGTTGTTGTTATTATTAGCTGCCATCGAGTTGGTACCGACTCATAGTAACCCTATGCACAACAGAAAGAAACACTGCCCAGTCTTAGCCCAACATCATAATGGTTGCCATGCTTGAGTCCATTGATGCTACCACTCTGCCAATCCATTTCACTGTTGGTCTACCTCTGTTTCTCTGACCTTCCACCTTACCAACTATGATATCCTTCTCCAGTGACTGGTCCCTCCTGACTATATGTCCAACATATGAGAGATGAACTTTGGCCATCCTGGC